AAAATCTTATTTATTACTCTAGGTCTTGAAACATTGTAGAACTCCTTGCTCTAGAAGTTTGTAACACCCTGAAGAAAACGTCGGAGACGCTATAAATTAGTAATATATAAAAGATCAGCATGACGAATTGAGTCGATTTATCCATGTCCGCCTGCCTGTCTGTATATGCTACCTTCTCTCCCCAAGGTGCTGCTCATTTGTCGGAGCTTTTGATATCGGACCACTATAGCATATAGCTGTCATACAAACTGACCTATCAAGTCCTTGTATGGTAAACTTTTTTATTTGAAAAGTTATGCTCATGAAATTTGGCAGATATTATTATCCCAAGCAGCGCTATAATCTACGATCTCCACTTACCCGCTTTATATCCATTTATGCTGTAAAATATTATTATTTGAAGGGTTTAGTAGCTTCGGTGCAGCCGAAGGTTCCTTAAAAACACAATCGGTATCATACTTCGCCTGCTTTGAATCTATCAGTTTATTTCCGGCTTTATTATAATTAAGAACTATTGAGATATATTCTTAGCTTGTTAATATTAATGTATTTACTATATAAAATTAAAGTTATCTAAAAAAAAGTATCAAAAGAAAATCATTTTCACAAAACTATTCTTACTGGGTCCGCATTAGCCGTTTCGGCAAAAACTTGCACTCGGTGTAGTAACAAAATGCATCAGCAGCCAACAACAAGCTGACAAACTGTATAAGGGAATATGTTATCAAACCACAACTGCTGATCAATTTTGTGTCGTCTCATTAGGATTCTTCCTTTGAGTACAAATGAAGCAAGCAGCAGGTTATTGCCTAAACGAGGGCATACCAACGTACATAACAACTCATACGCATTTAAACGTAAGTATATTAGAGCGGGTCCTTTTTTTTCTGTAAAATCGCATGTGCGGGAAATGTTCTACGGATCTTTCTTAACAAATTTACCTAAGAGGCTATGGGTCCGGTTTCGAGCTAGCGATATTTAAGACGAAGCTTATTTTTTAGGGATCTACAAATTTGTTTGACAGTTATTGAGATATCCGAATAAATCTAATACATAGATGCATTTTGCCATTCTATAGGTCATTTGTTGAAATCGGCCAGATTGGATAAACCATACAACCGATTATTCAGATTTTATATTTAGAAATATAGATTTTATATTTGACAGTATGCTGCCTTTAATTAAAATGCTAAGAGCACATAGTTTTGCAGAATTTTCCTCCACTGCATACTTAACAATGACAGCGCAAAATAAAGTATAACATAACATGTCAAACTGCACCTATGTGTTAAATTTCATTCGAATATCTCAAAAACTGACGAACAAATTTTTATTATCACTAAAAAATAAAGTTCGCCTCGAAAATCACTGGCTCGAAACCGGTATTAGACCCATAGTCTCTTAGGCAAAGTTGTTCAGATTAATCCGTAGAGTATCTCCCGCATATGCGACTTGTTCGTTGTTTGGCTTTCCGTAAATCCCGTAAATCAACCCGCTCTAGTGTACATATTAATAAATCTACGTATGTGTGTGTGCGTTGCTATTGGCAGCTTGTGTATGTGTTGCGAAAGTCACTGCGACGAGCAATCAACCCACTAAACGTGCAATCGAGCGGCCGATGTATGTCACCACGGACACACACACACACATACATGCTTAACAATGGCACTCGGTGTGTTGTCAACCTCATTTCAAGGGTGAAATTAAGTACTCAACCGTGTCTAATGTGGATGGGCAATGATTTGCTAAGGATGCCAGATATTTTTTTTTTTTTTTTTAATACCAGTGTGCATACATACACGCATATACACGGTATATGTATATCGGTGTATATGCAATGCTCAGCTACTTCAAAACTTACCTTGGCATATTTCCCGATAACTACACACTCGTGTATTCGAACCCGTTTTGAAGTTTGAAAGCTTAACTCCTTCGATTGCGTATGTATGTATGCACACACATATAATATTTTATGTTACAAACTGACATAATTTCAATCAGTTGCATCGCCAACCGTCCAACGGCTCACCTGACCTCGAGAGATAATACTTATGTATTTAGTTTTCGCATGTATTTGCGTATAGTTTGATATGTGTGTATGTGTGGAAGTCACGCAGTCCATTGATGAAATCGCTATTGAGTATTTGAATAGTTCGACTCGTCAATGATGATTGTTTGGTTTTGTTGTTGCTTGTCAAGTTCGTCTGTTGGGAAATTAAAGCTCGTGGCACGAAATTGTTTGGAAAGTCAGTTCACAGAATTTTTGCTTGTTCTAACTAGAGTTGTTACTTGGTATTAATGTTGTAGAGGAATGATTTTTGCTTTCTGTTCCAAAATATCTCAAACAGCTTATGAAATATTTAGAAGTCTCCCTATCTTGCAATAGCGCATGTGTGTCTTTATTCCATGAAAGGGCGTTATTAATTCACAAAATATTGTACCAACAGTATACATATATTACAAATAACGAGTGATTTATTGCGTTGTTTTTAATAAAGACTTGTCACAAGATCAACTTAGCTTATGATAAAAGAAATTGTCAGTGACTTTAAGCAAGATAATGGATATTGATACATTTATTAGTGATGGTTTTTTTTTTGACATAAACAAAATAGTTAACTTTCTTGAAAACTTTTTTAAACGAGTTTTCTGAGAATTTTATTTCTTAAATAAATTATAAAAAATTTATTAAATAAATAAAAAAATTTCTGTTTACAGACTTTAATATTTAGTAATCGTTAATTAATTTCGAAAATTTTGAATAATTTTGGGGTGAGAAAATATTTTCTGCTTAAAATTATTTCAAATCTAAAAACCAAAAAAAAAACGTTTTTACTATAGATTTGATTAGAGGTATGCACCGCGACCTTTGGTCTATTGTACTCTGACTATAGATGAGTACAAGTAATGATCGACGGAATAGTCAAAATTTAGATTTTTGACAAAACGCCAGCTTCCCAAAAAACATTCGTCTTTTGTGAAAAAATTTACTCCTCAGAGTGACTTAAAAAGTCGAAATTATTATTAAAAATCTTATTCTTTTAATGAGTGTCTGACAAAAGCATATAATTGGAAAGTCTTTGCATTCATTTTGGAGAAACTTTTCTCGCCGACTCTGAAAAGAGAGTTGCGAAAAAATCGCGTCGATTACACTAACGAAACTATTTGCCAGATCGATTTCAAATTTTCGAAGAATATTTACATTCGGTATATATATATATGCAAAAAGAAATCGATTTTTTGAAATTTTTTACTGAATATAACCCTTTAACCTATGGTCTGATGGTCTTGTTTGACTTCTGCTCCCAAGTAAAAGTTATCCAATACCAGAAGGTATGCAACAAATCGAACTTAGTAACCATATATATACCTATACTTGTATATATGCTAATATGAAACAAAGTGTTAAAAAGTGCAATCACTATTTATTATTGTAATTAAATACATATGTACTAATATATTTTGGACATGTTGATGTAGTTTACTTACATACATATTTAAAGTATACATTTCACTTCTACTCATTATTTTGTAAACGGATAGTTGAGGTCACCACTAATGAGCAAAGCCTTGTCATGTTAACGTAAAATATGTAGAATATAAATGGAAAAAATTACAAAAACAAGTATAGGATTGACGCGGCATATTTGAAATTACCAGTACATATGTTATATATATAATATTAAATAGAATTAATCAAAACAAGTACTGACATACTAAATGTGACGTAATAATGCGAGGGGACGAACAAAAGTCATGAAAAACTCATTTTAATTGTTTGGAAATGGTGTTAATGGCCATTATAATTATATAGGTATGCGCGATTATTAACTAAATAGGTTGTGTAATAACTTTTTCCTCCCGAAAACTTTTGTGCATAAAATATTAGGAACTTTTACCATTATTTTCTGATATTTTGAAATTGATATGATATAACTTTTAATATAAGAAGTGAAATCACGTGTACGTAAAATTTCGAATTCATATAAAGTATAAATATAAATGCTCAGCGCGGCAAGTTGAGTCTATTTAGCCATGTCCGTCTGTCTATTCGTTTGTCTGTAGATACGCCAACTAGTCCCTCAGTTTTTGAGACATCGATCTGAAATTTTACACACATGCTCTCCTTCCAAAGAAGCTGCTCATCTGCAGAAGCGGCCGATATCGCACCACTATAGCAAATAACTGTCATAAAAACTGACCGACCCAAATCACGTTCTTGTAAGGAAAACTTTTTTATCAAGAAATCTTCACGAAACTTCGCATCGATTATTGGCCCAGGCAATGCCGCAATCTCCGAACAAATTCTATAGATCGGAGTACTATAGCATATAGCGGCCAGACATCTTTTTCACCCTTTTATGATATAAGAAATGTCGAAGTGAACGTGTTTTCTTGCTTTAATAATAGTCTTAAATAAGTCAAAAGTTATATTGTATAGGTGAAAATATAGGTAAAATTTTTAGCATACCGAATTTAGATAAATTTTGCTTTAATTGCTGCCACAAGTTAACTTTGAGCAAATGATTTATGGCAATGTCATTGTGTTCATGAATTTTTGAAAGTTGCAATGTAATAAAGTTTGAATTAATTATGTTCAGAACAGGCTCACATTTTAAAACAAAAATGCATAAACCTCTGTTAATTTATTCGACAGCAAATAGTTTGCGCTTTGAAATAACACATCATTGAAATGCCCGCCAACAACAGTAAAATGTTGTTTAACTGCAACAAAAGCACATTTATTTTATGTAGGTATATAAACATATACTCGATATATAATATATTAGAACGCATTTTTTAGTTTGTTTAAATTCATGAATGTGTATATATATTCTACCACAAGTTCATATTTATATAAATATATAAATAAAATAATTAAATAATATATGAAGTTAGGTTTTCATATTTATATTTATATATATGTATACAAACATCACAACATATTTAGTCCGTATCCGATTATCTCTTCAACTTTCCTTCCGTTTTCTCACCCGCAGCGATCCACCAATATTGCAAGCGCACAACAACACCAACATCATACTGCGTCTGCCCATGGGCAAAAGGATTAAGGATATACGATGGCTGTCCGTGTGGTGCCGACGATTTACGGTAAGAAGATTTGCTTTGCGTTTCCTTATGCTGTGGTTACACTGCCACATGGTAGTTACACACATACATAGATATCCGCAAATTTATATTAGACATTTTCGTAATCGTGGTTGAATATTTATTTCGGTTGCTTTGACAACTGTCAAAATGATTCGGACAAACTGCGGTCGCGTGGACGCACAAGTTTTGCCATAATTCATTTTTAATTAAAGAAATAACCACATAATCGCTATACAGTGGGAGATGAGTGATTCTAATTATGGAAAATTTGGTCAAGGTTGTTTGAAAATTGCTTAACATTTTTGGTTAAAACAAAAGTTTAAATTTATCAAAGTTAGAAATAATTATGATATGAGATGTAGTATTGCAGTGGTTCCCAGCATTTTTATGTCCCACTTGCTATGGAACTTTTTGGAGGTCTTAATTTTTGTGACAATTACTTGAAAAACTGTCCGTAAATAGTATTATATGACAAACAGTAGCGCAAACATGCAAGATACCTAAAAAAGCAGAGATCGATAACCATATACGATTAGAATATTTTTCTCAAGTAATGCATAGAATCAGAAAATGTATACTTTAAAAATAAACTAATGATGAGTGCATGAAACTTTTCAGTTTTTAAAAATATGCTTTAATAATTTTTTTGTAGATATCGATATCAAAACTTTTGTGGAAAGTTAAATTATTAATATAAGAAAGCGCAGAGTATATTACAAGAGCTTCATTTAATTATTTGCTCTCAGAAATGTTCATCTTTCAGCAGTTGTACAGATTTTAATCGGATATTGTGCAATGATTTAGTCTCAAACTTTTGCCAGACGGTAATTGTTGAAGCTATCTGAAAAAGAGTTAGAGTCAACCCAGCACCATCTTCTAAACAGTCTAGCTTTCGCAATACTAAAGTTTAAAGATCTGGATTAAAAAATACAAGTATTTTCTCAACAGTCTTTATATTTAGTATATACGGGTTGCGGTAATTTTATAGACGTATTTCACACATTTTCGGTACCAAACGATAGTACGTTCAAGATTTAATTTTATAAAAATATCGTGCATATTGAATGATAAATATATTGTAAAATTAAACATAATAACATAATAATTATTATTATATGAAGTATGTACATAAAGCTGGCTAGGAGAAGCCGTGAACCGATTTTAAGACCCGGATAAAAGACCACCCTAATTTTACCGCCTTAGGTTAGAAGCTTTTTATATCCGGTAAGCTGGTCTTGAATATATAATAGTCCGATATCAAACATTTTTGGATGAAAGGCACTAATTGTACAAATGTTTATTCTCAAAAATTTATAGGTGTTTGATTAATATACAATATTTTTAAAGTAATATAATCTTATGGAATTGGATTTTTCTTTATATGGAAAGTAGGCGTAGTTGTAACCTGATCTCGTCTATTTTTCAATGGAATGATAAGGGTCAAAATATTGGTCAAGTAGTAGCACAGGCGTAAGATTCCATATTAAAATGGGCGGTGCAACGCCTATTGTTCAAATTTTATGCCGATTCACATGCAACCTGCTGTACTGTCTTTACGGTTAAGTTTCCGGGGTTATACTATGTACTTGCAGGTCAGAAGAAATGCGTTTCATTGTGATGTCTTTTTGAAAAGAGATCTTTTGTAATAAATAAATAAAAAATATGCATTTACAGAGCTTAATGTACTTTAATAATCGGCGATTTATTTTGAAAAATTTTGGATTCCCTTGATCAAGTAATCGATCTTCAGAAGAACCTTAATAAATAATGTCTGGGGGTGAGGAATATTTGTTTGCTTAAAACATTCAAATCCAAAAAAAAATTCTTTATTATATATAGATGAATACAATTAATAATTTAACGATTAGTTAAAATTTTTATTTTTCTTGCAATGGCGGCTTTCCAAAAATAAATGTTATTTTTTGGAAAAAAATTACACTTCAAAATGTCTTAAAAGTCGAAATTATTATCAAAAAATGTCTTTCTTCGTACATTATCTGACAAATAAAGCTAAAAAGGTTGTGTGAAAATTTCGAGTCGATCGGTCGTTTCGGAGAAATGTTCGTCACTCTGCGAAAACAGCGATTCGAGAAAAGCACATTTAAAGTTTTGAAAGTCGATTATATAAAGTTAAATTTTCTCAACAAATCTCGCTCATATCTTCGAAACTATTTGCTGGGTAAACTTAAAATTTTCGAGGAATTTTCTCAAATATACAATATGTACATTCGATATACATATACAGAAAACTAAAAATCGATTTTTTTTAAATTCACAAGAAGATATAACCTCTTTATAGTTCGCCACCTTCGGATTTTTTTGAATCAAGACATATTCCATAAATTTATGTACATGCCTATGTGTAAATGTCTACAGATGTCTGCCTTTCTAATATTCACTCTGAAACAAGTTCAAAATCATATTAAAACACGAATCGATTGCGTAAATATTTGTCAGCAAATCACTTTCTAACATATACAATAACAACAACCAACGCAAAGGGGATGAATAACAAAAGCACTGAAAGCCGCACAGCTCAGCAACCATTGATGGCCGATTATGACAGGTGTAAAACAAGTTGCGTTAAATAGCTGTACATGGGCATATAAACAACTCAACTGACGCAACTTGAATACAGTCTCACCTAAAGACTTGGGCGTATGTGTGGGTGCGTGTGAATTTCGCGATTGCTGTCAGTCAGTTAGTAAGCGATGCGCCTTGAGGCCGGCAAAACCATTTAAGCTAAATGCTTGAGTTCAAAGTCCAAAATATACGCATCCACTTAAACACTCACATACATATTTTCTTTTTATATACATATATATATATATATATATATATATTCAGGCGCTATATATATATATTTATATGTATAAACCTATCTATAAAGCAAAGAACAGCATGCATTATTCATAGACGCTTCACGCAATTGACTTTAGCGCCTAAATATATGCAACACTGCTGCCAATGTGCAAAAACTAAAGCAACAACAACAACAGCAACATTGTATACGGCTAAAACAAAACTAATTTTTTTTCGGGGTTAATATTCGAACCGCGCCCATTTTTTGGTGTGAAAATTGCGCACTCGAGGCGCCAAATACATACATACATATATACATAAATATATATCACTCACTTACATGTACATATGTATTTTTAGGTGAATTTTCATAAATTACTTTTGTTTTATTTGGCTCACGTGCACGAAATAATATTATTTTTCGTTTACCAGCGGGAGGCGGAATACGCAAAGAATGAAAGCAGAATAGCAGATAGAAAGCAAAACAGAAACGGAAGGTCCTACTTTGTTGCAAACTCACCCGGAGCGTGTGTGTTGGTATGCGGTGGTGTGGGAGTTGCGGTTGCTGTCTTAGAATATAAAAGATGGCGTCGTGGTTAAATAAATTACAGCAGACATTTTTGATTAACTCAAGTGTGTACATAAGTAGGCGTGTGTGAGCGCTGATGGGGGTATGCACACTCATACACATAGTGTGTATCTATGTGTATGTAGTCTCAGTGAAATATATGCTGTGTTACGCATATGTATTTACATAAATACCTATACATGCGCAGTCTGCAGTATGATTAAAAGTGGCTGCAATTTTTTGTGCAGACATTTACACACACATACGTATGTAGATATGTATGTCTGTATATTGAAGCATAATACTTATGTATACATATTTGAATATGAGACAAACTGTGGTGAATAACTATTCATAACAGGAAAAAACGTGAACTTCGGTGGCACCGACGCTATAATACATACCCTTCACAAATAAACAAGTTTTCTATAAAAGCACTTAATTTTAATCGGTCACTTTCTATGACAGCCATGTGCTATATTGGTCTGATCTGAAAAATTTGTTCAAAAATTATACCGTTGATTTGGATACTTCAAGATGTTTCAAGTCAGCGACAGCTGTTATGATTTATGCTACTAATATTTGGACTTTCAAATATAGAGAGTGAGGTTCAAGCCAGACCTGCTTCTCTCAACTGTAACTTCAGGGAAAATGTTTGCCTAGTTTCATCAAGATATACCCTGAACTGGATATATTAAGTTTGCCAAGAAGTTTTAAACACTCAGAAGGAAACGTCGAAAGTTCTATAAATTATATATTTAAAAGATCGGCGTGACAAGCTGAGTCGATTCAGCCATGTTCGTCTGTCTGTATACACAGCATACGAAATTTGATATGCATTATTGCAAAAGACAACAGTATAAACTCTGTTGCATTTATATTCACCACGAATGGGGAAGTTGGGGAATTGAAGTTTCTTACACACACAAACACCTATACATATGTATCTATGTATATATATGTATGTACAATGCGCGCGCACATTTCTCCTTTTTTGTCCTTTTGTGTTGGAGTATGTTTATATACTATATATATCTCTTAAGATGTTTAATCAGTATACATGTACATATACAAGACAAATCCAACAAAAAGTCATTACATATTTAAGCATATAATTAATATTGTGCCCGAAAATATACATATATGCATACCATTACTATATATTTACACACTAGTATATGTATGAATATGTGCTAAAAGGAGGATCCTTATACATTATATCTCACAAAAGTAAATGTGTCGATGTGTATGTGTGCGCATAAAATAAATGAGTATTTTCGGCAATAATTTCGCCTGTCTGTATGAAAATATGTAAAACGTATAAATATTTTCACAAAAAAATTGCATTTTTATAACTTCGTTGACTTAAATAAATGCATCTTCATGTCATTTACATAGCTTTCTTCGGTCTACCCTTTCGACAAGCTCACTTGTGGCTTTAGTAAACCTGAGTTTAAGGCAACATCTGAAGGCCATTGATTCGCTGTCGCTTTTTATAAATGGCGCAACAGCTTGCTCTTTCTTTTCAGATTGAATCTTCCTTGTACAATCTCTTTTGTAGAAAGTGGCTTGTCAATGACTATTTGGGATTATCAACTGGATTATTATTGAATATTCCTTTTCTTAAGTGGAAAACTTAAAATTTATTAATTTTACTAATTCTTTTTGCGAGTTATTGTTTTAATATTGATCTGGGCAAAAGGATTCAATGCCTTTACTATATTTATTGTGTAAAAATGGGTGGTTATAGACGCTGACACCTTTCTTAGTTGCTTGGCAAAACTTTTTCTTCTATTCCTACTATGTGTCTTGATTTTATCAGGCGTATAGAGGTACAAACAGGTTTTGAATCTTTTTGACTGCAAAAGAATCTTTCGCCAAGATTTGATATTGACTGTCGAGGGACGGAAGAAAAGAATTCATATATTTTCATACATTAAAATCTGGGATACTCCTTAACGAGGCAAAGCAATTTGCCTCAAAATACTTGGTCCTGAATTTCAGAAAAGCTGAAGATGATAGGAATATTCACAGATACAATTAATACTTTTGGGAATTATGCAGGCTTTACGAGTCCAAATCTTACACGTAGTGATGTTAGCTCAGCTTTCACCCATTTGATAGGTTTTATATACTAAAAAGTTCTCTAACAATAGTAAATCATTTTAGATGTGAATCTTATAATTAGATAATCCGTCTTACAGTGAAAACATTTTTTTTGCACTTGTTGTTGTAGTAACGGCAGAAAATATTCTCTAAACACTTTTGAAGAACATTTTCTAGCTAACAATCTTCAAGCCGATGTTAATCCGGGTCCATTACGATGGTTTAAACCCAATTGTCACAAGAATAGTGTGACCGATTTATCAATGTTTTAACCCATTAAGGGGCACACCTAACGTGATATCCTAAAAAACTCTATTTTTGTCAATTACATATAATATTTTAAGAATACGCAGTAAAATTTCTAAAGAAAAAATATTTTTCGAGTTACACGCGATTTCGTACGGCGTTAAAAACAAAAAATGAATTTTACCCAATATCTTGGTCGCATAGATTTTGAATATATATCTATATAACATAACATGCAGACAAAATTTGACAATGATCGGATCTTTTGCCTCCGAGTAAGCACTTTGTAAATTTGAAAAATTGGGTTTTGAGGAAAAATATTAGAACTCAAAAACTATTTAAGATATTTTTTTAAACTTAGATATTGATTTAAAATCTGAGTATGTTATTTTAAATGATATAATCTATCGAAGATAAATCGATCTCTTTTTTATTAAATTTCACGCTTGGTGTGGCCTGTAAGGTATCGTGAATTCTCTACAAACTGTTGTGATCTCCTTTTCTAGAAATCATTAGATAGAATAAGTTGAGGTTTTTAATATATCAAAAGTTTCCGAAGCTGGCAGCTTCGCCTTTATAAGCCATAAATATAACAGAGCCTTGAAATCCCAATAGATGTATAGATTGTATAACGAAAGCTAATATGATTCCTAATTACCTTGACTTCAACGTCAATTTAATAAGTTTCATGATTCCCTTCAGCAGTCTGATTAAACAACCTCACAAACTATTATATTTATACTACAACTCATAATGGATCTATTGCTATTTCAATTATTTACGACGGTTATCAATTAATACAGTGTGTTTTTGGAAGTAAGCCTGATTTCTTTGGAAAACACTATGCCGATTTTAACTAAATCGATCTCATTATTCGGATATTAAGTAATTTTATATAACAATTTCATTCAAACAGGTTGATTTCGGTGAAGTCTTTATCCCACCTAACCTAGATGTACCAAAGCCACGCGTGCTACCGGAATTCAAGCGTCTAGCACATGGACTTCGCTCGAGCAATATAAGTGTTTTGGATGCGAAAACTTTCTATATACCCAATCTACACTACGACGGCGCCGGTCCAGATGCCTATTTTTGGGTTGGCAATGGCTCCGAACCCAATATTATGGGAATTAAGGTAAGTTATATCGCTGTAATAATTATTATTAAGATAATTAAGATTTTGCTCAGGTTCCCAATGAGGTTGGCTCACTAGAACCGCTACGTGGTTATCAAGGCGAAGATATTGAGATACAGTTACCCGGCTCCTTGACAGTTTACGATATCGATTGGCTGTCAGTTTGGTGTGTGGAGTACAGGCATAATTTCGGACATGTTTTTATACCAAAAGATTTGGATGTGCCGCCAGCGTTGGGTCAAACAAAAATAACGGTAAATTATACCTTTAATGTAAATATCAGCTTGAAGAATTATTTGAAGCGTTTTAGTTAACACCTCTACCTTATTTATAGTGTATATAATATAGTAGTATATTTATACATTCCTCTATACATATATACATATATTCATATTTACATATGTATGATCGTTATGATCTTTTCATTATGGCATACATTGTTATGATCATTGGTCCTCTCATTTATGAGTATCGCACACTTTCGTAAGCATTCTACTCACACTTTGTAACCTAATGATCGCCATACAAAAAATATCTCATTAAACATTATATTCTTATATCTTTCGTATGCATTAGCCTCCATGGTGGTATACACCTGTAAGTATTAGTTTAGACTACCAACACTCATTGTGTAGTACATTCATACAACCAAGTACGAAAATGTATATATAGAAAAGAATTCTCCGTTTGCCAAATCTAAGAATACTCACCTTATTGTAACTACTTTCAGACTACCACCACACCACGTCCCGTCTACGCCAATTGTCGTGAGATTATACCCGACAAACTGCAAGTGAAATGGGAGATACAAGGTGAATACATACAGATCGAGCTGTTTGGACGCATTGCCGAGGATCAATACATGGCTTTCGGTCTGTCTGGTGCCAATGGACGCGCTCAAATGTCGCAATCGGATGTCGTTGTTGCATTCTACGATACCAATGCGCGCGTTTTTCGCGCTGAAGACTACTTTATCTCCGATTTGTCGCAATGCGATGGTCAGCACGGCGCTTGCCCCGATAGTCGCATCGGTGGACGTAACGACGTTATTGTGTGTACGTAAATTAGTACTTGTTTTCAAACACAATTCATATTAATGGCGGAAATTTATTTTACAGTGAGCGGCGATCGCAAGAACAATGTGACCAGCATACGCTATAAGCGTCTCATACAAACCAATGAACCTATCTATGATTTTGCCATACCATTGGATCGCGAAGTGTCCGTGATCGCTGCGATCGGGCCGTTGAATAGTCTCATGGAGGCAAATGCACATTCGCACACCGGCAATGATCACACCATCGACGACGTGCGCATTAATTTCTCATCGCGTGTAAGTGAAATTCATTTTCTAACAGTAAATGCCTTTAACTAATGGAGTTACTATTCCATTCATAGAACGATCATTCGTGCAAGAATTCGCTGTATAGCTTCAAAGATCAGAGCGGACCAAAACCTTGGCCAACACGCAAGATCACTAACCAGACCGTATTCACAGCTCGCATTGGTCCCACAGGCGGTAAGCGCGGTTACACGCCACTCACTGGTATACCATCCTGGGGTATTGCTTGGTACTTGAATGATCTGCTAATACCAGAAATAACGGTGCAGCGTGGCAAAACTTATGAGTTTTATGTCGAAGGCGGCGATGATCCCGCACAACCTGCCAGGTAAGCTGGACCTTCAAACTATTGGACAACACTTTGCAATACATATCATTTCATACAGATACCATCCATTCTATATCACCGATTCACCAGAAGGCGGTATTGGACAAATGACTGGTCTTGAAGTAAGCAAACAAAAAGCTTATGCCGGCGTCGAATTCGATGAGGAGGGTAACCCGATACCGACTGCATGTGAGCATACATATTTTTTTCAGAAGAGGAGTAAATTTTTAATCGATGCAACTTTTATCTTGTCAGTTGGGCGCTATTGCGAATGGACACATCGTACAGTTGATTTATCAGCCCAGATCGAAACTTTTGAGGAGTATGTGAAGACCTTGATGCTGGAATGTGTTGAAGGTGAACCAGGCTACTTAAATTGGACAGTACCATTGGATGCTCCAGATCTGCTGTATTATCAGGTAAAATGGAGTTTTAACTATTGTATGTGCATTATTATTATTATTTTTTTTTTGTTATCTTCTGCCATTAAGTGTTTATCGACCGCGCTAGCGGTAAAACTTAACAGTTCTAAAGAGACATACACAATTTTAACACAATGAAACAAAACGTAAATTTCTACGCTTGGGAACAAAACATATGTAACCTGGTCGCTTTATATTCGAAACTTAATCTTTTTCATCTCAACTTTTTCAAAATATATTTTGAAGGTTTTTTTATGGAAGTTCATTTTGACAGCTCGGGTATATACTTTGAAAGTAACTTGCCACAATAACTAGAAACGTTTTGACGTCAACTTTGATTAAAAGCAGTTTTGTAGCCGAGTATTGTTGCTGCAAGAAACAGACAAAACATTCGTAGACGATCCTTAACTCTTTTCGAAAAGGGTTTTCAGAATAGAAATTTTTTTGAAAGGTTTTAAGCCATTCTACGTCTTTTTCCGTAAACAATATTTTTGTCAGCTAACTTATCTATTTTAGCAAAGATCCATTCGAGATCCATTTGTATTTTTTCTCCTTTGCTCTCTATCAACGTGGACCAGAAACCACTTTTGATCTTACAGGCCCATCCCTTTCTTTTCCCTTCCAAGGGAAATACATATTAAAATTATAACGATGGATTTTACCTCTCGTTTCCTCACAAGCCGAGTCTACATCAACAGAACGAGTACACATTTATAACAAACACTTAAAGCATAGTTCCTTTATTTTACTCCGAAGTCCAATCGACAGCCATCCAAATAGACTCTGAATCAATTCTAAAGCGCAGAAAAAGCACTTCATTCCGATCGTTCAGTTTATATGGCAGCTATATGCTATAGTGATCCGTATTGGTGAGAAAAGTACATGTGCGAAATTTTAGATCGATATCTCAAAAACTGAGGGACTAGTTCGCATTATATTTTTGTATTTTTGTAGGTTCTCCGACGTTTCCTTTTGGGTTTAACAAACTTATGCAAACTGATGTAATGTGAGTTTTGTCACGACTTTCATCGTACCCAATTTTACTGTCCACGATAACTATCGTGTGCGGTCCAATGCTTCGTATTAGCTGAACCGAAGCTATGTAAAATCATAAGAAATTTAATCAGGTATTGACCATCCTGAATACTGTTGAAGTTGTATATCCTTGACAAGCAGCTTTATTACCGAAGGCTTTCCGAAAGATTTTCTCAGTGATTATCCTGATTAAATGTGTATTCTTGCAGAGATACTGCTATCTGCTTGCTCTACACCTATTTTTAGATAAAATTTTTAGTTGGCATGGTGTAGACCTATTTTAAACTAAAAATTCTAAAATTTGTAGCGAAGTTTTGAAAGGCTCTCTAGATCTGTATTCAATTAATGAAACAGATATATTCAACTGACAGTTCTAAATATAAAGTCGAATGTGGTTCGAAATCCTGGATCAGCCTTAATTTGTTCTCGTGACCTATCGATCGCCTTGTCATTTAGTTACTAACCTACTACCTATTTTGGTTACAATGCTGCAACTTAATATCTTACACATTTTCTTACAACAATTGTTATAATAAATTATTATATTTCCAGTGCTTCACACATCGAAATCTCGGCTGGAAGATTAACGTTGTCGATGCCACGGACGCATCAGCTGCGCTCCAATTAACCATCACCAATGCGATTGTGTACACAATTCGTGCTATTTAGCTGTTTGTGACGCAAAACATTTTCAGTTTGTCAATAATTGCCTGATAGTGGGTGCTGCTGTCACAAAAGTTAGAACGTTTTAGATTTTAAATGTCAAGTGAAAGTCGTTTGAGAGGCTAGGTGAAATGTGGCAAAATACACCAAACATAAATATATTTACAGATATATATCCTCTCTTT